CGGCGCGCGCGCGCGCACATCCCTACCTAGCAGCGCGTTGGCCGGCGACCGCGGAGCTTGAACCTGACAGAGCCGGAGTTGAGCCAGCAGGGACGCGCGGAGGGGCGAGAGAGCCCTCAGAGATGTCCGCGCGCCTGCGAACCAACCCTGAGCAAGGTGGACTGAAGCCCGAGTTCTAAGCCCTGATTGCTGAGTTCTAAGATAATTCCGTTTGGGGAGAGCATTTTCTCATTCCTAAACCTGGTTTCTAAATTTCCATCCTTAATTCCCAGTAACCTTGAAGGATGTGGCCTCAAAGTGGGCTTTTTCACCACTCTTCTTTGTCCTTACAGGGTGTCTGTGTTTGTGAAGCGCTCCCTCACTGATTTCTTCTGTGGGACCCTAGTTGAAAAGGGAAATAACCTGCGGGGAAAGAAGGACAAAGTGCTGAGCACTGCTGGACATCATATGAAGAGAAGGTACCCTTGTTGCAGCTTTTTATCCTTTGGGATAATACCTGTTGAAATACTAACCAGGTAGAAATTAAAAGAAATCAGCTCTTCTCCACAAGTATTGTCCTGATCCTTGAACTGTATCCTCCTTCCTAGATCCTGCAGCCAGAAATGACCTATACATTTCCCCAAACTCCTTAGCATTATGTCTGTAGATCTGTGGCATATATATATATATATATATTCAAATTTAGGTATATTATACCCTGAGAACATGCTTCATGCATGTTTATTCTTCCACAACGGATTGTGCCTGACTCGTAGGAAGTAGTCAAAAAATGTGATTACAAAAATAAGTAAATACGGTGCAGCAAGAGTTAAGTGTGTCTGGTTATCTAGGTCTAGAATGACATTTTTAGTTTAAATTTTCCCTTCTATCTCACTTCAGTTACCCTGCCTTCCCCACCCATATCCAAAAGCTACTCTGAGAAATGTGACTTTTTTTCTAAGTGTCCTCTACCTCAAATTTCTACACACACACACACACACACACACCTTTTTTTAATCTTAATATCTACTCTTAATATCTGTAGATGCTGGGATATATCAAGAATGTTCAAGTATCTCTTTTGTGTCTCCCCTACCTGCTAGGTGCCAGAAGGTCCTTTATTGAGCTTTATATCCCAAGAGCCTTTCTAGCCCTGGGCCTGACTCAGTGAATGATGTAAATTTTGATAACATCTAATGAAGTTAGGATTAGAATAACAAAAATCATCTCTTGACTTCCTGAGACATTCAGGATCTACTAATACATATGCAACATATAGGTACTGAGATTCTAATAAGTACTAGTAAAGTTACACTGGGCACCATGAGGAAGTCAACAGATGAAAAAGGCATCTGATATCTTCTAACTGAGACAAAGTATTTTGTTTTTTTAAGACAGTGTCTCACTATGTAGTTGAGACTGACCTGGAACTCATTATGTAGTCCAGGAATACACACAGCGATTCTCCTGCCTCAGCCTCCTGAGTGCTGGGATTACAGGCATACGCCACCATGCCCATCTGAAATAAAGTGTTTTGATAAAAGGACAATGCTGTCATAATTATCAGCATTCAATAAAAAACTAACCAAAAAATAAGGGAATTGTTTAATTATGAAAAGTTAAAAAGTCCAAAAACAGTTTAATGTTCCCCAAATTCAATTCTATATGCCTTTGAAAACAGTAGTGGCTACTGATGATTATTAAAGGTTGGTTCTTCCGTTTAAGTGAGGTGTGACACTAAGTCATTTACGGTAGGATCGATTCATTTACCAGCTTGCTAATAGGAAAGAAAATTTCTGTCTCATGGCCACATATTGCACCTCTAATTACCAATTGTTCTATTTAGAACTTTGAGGGAATCTAGACAAGACACAGTGAAGATGGAAGAGTATGATGACACAAACCTGTATCCCAATACTCTAGGAGGCTGAGGCAGAAGGATTGCAAGCTCAAGCCCAGCGTAGGCAATTTAGCAACTCAATGAAAACCTATCTCAAAATAAAAAATAAAAAGGACTGGGTTTGTAGCTCAATGTGAAGGCTATGGGTTCATTCCCCAGTAGTGGGAGGGAAAAAAGACACACTGAAGATGACTTGGAACAACTCATTCTCATTACAGGGAAAACAATTCTAAGCACATGCCAAAGATTTAATAAAAAAGCACTCTTCATATAATGTATGCTATCACTTCTCTCTCTATTATGGCTTCCTAAGCATATTCTAGCAGCCCAGGTCCACAAAATGACTAAAGCTTTCATTTTGGGGGAAAGTGTTAACACTAACTATGACTTACAACATGACAGAAAGTCATGGCCTAAATCTAGAACTAAATCACAAATACATTTTGTTTGACCTATGCACTTAAAAAAAAAGACAAAAGCTAAAAATGAAGCTATTTCATAGGCATTTTGGATTTCTCTTTTAAAAAACAGATTTGGTGATTATGGGCTCACATTCTCACATGACAACAATCAGCTACAGGACGTGCATTTTGATTTATCTCTACATTCCCTATCATTGTTTACACTGTTTTGTTTTCCTCAGTCAGGACTTCAACTCCTTTTTATTTTATTTATTTTTATTTTGGAGACAGGGTCTCACTGTGTAGTTCAGGGCAGCCTTGACTTCACTGTGTAGTCCAGGCTGGCCTTGAACCTGTGGCAATCCTCCTGCCTCTGCAACTTCCAGATTATAATGTCATAATATCAAAAATCTATAAACAAATAATCATAAGAACTGTTAATTTGAAGAGTTTTATTTGAGGTAGTGGCATAGAATATATTAGTTTTATAATAGGTATTACTGGTTGGTCACTCAGAATGCATTTCTACTTCTCTGCAACTGTAGTCAGCCAGGGACTTCAGTACCATGAAACATCAACTCCATTGCCTCTCGTCAGTGTTCACAGATAGGCACCTACGTGGGTCTAAATTGGTCCAGTCATGGAAAACGAGATCTTATGTTTGTTGGAAAATGAAAAGTGTTCTCTTTCTTACTGTGGCTGTAGTGATGGGAGAATGTGAGTCCTATAGTTACTGCAGCCATTTTGCTGCCATTAGGAAAGGCAGCCTGAGGTGAAGCTGACTCGTGATGAAAGAGTTCAAACCCGTCTGAAGCCTTTCACTGGATATAGTAACTTCTGTGAGCCAACAAATGTTATTAGCTGTCTAGGAGAGCTTAACTTTTTGTTATTTGAAGCCAAAGGTAAATTTTTCTATGCTATAGAAATTTTTCTATGCTATGGTTGTATTATACAAATCTTACCAGTATATATTTCCAATGGGGTAAAGAGGTAACAACGTATTTAGTAAGATTTTAGGATATTAAAGAGTCTGGAAAGGAATTTGACCAACCCCCCCCCAAAAAAAACCTTCCCTGGATATATTACCTGAGGTCTGAGAATCCATCACTACACCTCTCGTTTTTACTAAAATTTGTATTCTATGCCCTATTTAAATTGACTTTCCCTGAAAAGAGTCCTTCATAACTCTAATTCATAATCTTATATAAACAAGCTTATCTGCAGTTTCTGAGTCATTTTTTTGATAATGGGGAATATTGGAAGAAGCAACTCCGGCTACGTGAAGAAAGAGGAAATCACGCAGGAGCAAAAAAATGTAATAGAAGTGAGCCTGGAGATAGAGAAGAAAAGCTTTCCTATTTCAGTTTTATATAGGATTGAAGTTCAGAGTACTCTGTTCAAATCATACTAAATTTGTGTGATAAACCAAGCCTATATTACAAGCAACCATCGATTTTCATTTATTTTATTTTTGTACTTGGACTTCACACCAAGGTATAGCCCTTTCTTATTTTGATACAGGGTCTCAGTAAGTTCCCAGGATAGGTTTAAATTTGGAATCCTCCTGTCTTAGGCCTGCCAGAGTGCTGGGATTGCAGGTTTGTGCAACCATGCCCTGTTACAACCTCCCTCGTAAGACCAAAGAAGAACACACTGAAACTATAAAACGTATACAGTAGTATGAGCCCTCATGTGCCAGTCACCCAGCCTGAACAACTGTCAGCATGCAGCTGTGCTTCAGTATGTAGCTGTAAAAGATAAGAATTCTTTTATTGCAATCAATAAAATCAATAATGTAGGGTACTCTATTAGACAGATAACAAAGTTCCGGTCAAAAAATAAATTGTGTGAATTATATGGAAAGGAGGAGGTGTTAGATTTGCTTGGTGGTTAACTTTGTTCATTTCTTTTTAATGGCTTCGTGTTATATAATTGATATACACAATAAACTATATATATTTGAAGTGTAAAATATGACAGGTTTTGACTGTGTATGAACCTGTGAAACCATCACCACAGTCAAAATAATGAACATATCCATCACCCCCAGAAGTTTCCTTGTGCCCCTTTTTCTACTCTGCCCCATCTCCCACATCCTCTGGCAGCCACTGGATCTGCTGTTGCTATAGAGTAGTTTTTACTTTCTGAAGTTTTCCATAGTAAATGGAATCATACTGTTTGTATTCTTTTTTGCATTGCTTTTTCCACTCAACATAATTATCATGCTTATTATCACTATTTTGAGATTCACCCATGCTGTTGCATTTGTTAGTAATCTGTTGCTTTTTAGTCTTTCAGTCTCACCTCGTGTCCAGTTCCAGTATTCACATAAGTCACTGGGCTTCAGCAAATAATTACCTTCAGCTCCCTCTAATGCTCAGCTTTTCTGTTTTTCTTTGTCCAGAGCTTAAGAATTTCCCTTTCTTGCTTTCAAGACTGGCAATATTTTTTTCAATTTTTAAAATGATCCAGCATTTTATATTTTTTAGAAGATAGGGAGTCTTCCCTTATCAACCTATGTTGCCATGATTGATCTGAATTAATGTTTTTTTGTTTGTTTTTGTTTTTGTTTTTGTTTTGTCTTGTTTTGGTTTGGTTCTGGGGATCGAACTCAGACCCTTGCACTTGTGAGGCAGGCGGCGGAACCACTGAGCCAAATCCCTGGCCCTGAATTAATCTTTTGACAGTGTGAAGAAACTATTGAAAAGGAACTCTGTCCTTTGTAACAACATAAAGAAATTCCACAAAGAAAAGTTGCCTCTGTGGATGTGGCATCAGCCATTTTTTGCAGAGTTCTTCCTCCCTAATGGTTTCCCTGTATCAATCTGTACACACACAGCTTTGGCAATAAACTCCAAATTCTCTTCAAGTTCTTACCACAGGCCCCCAAAATTCTAGGTTTTAGACATATAAAAAATATTCCTTAAATACATATGTTTTTCAGAAAAGCAACTTCAAAAGTTACTTGGTAAAGGGAGGAAAATGACCACTTTCCTCTTCTGAGTCAAGGGAAATCCACATCCTCTTTACTATTCCTTGACCTTCCTTCCAAGACCTTTTTTTTAAGTCCCTTTTCCCTTTGCCACATAAAAAATAAGCTGCAAATCTGAAAAAAGAATTAGTCTTTTTTTGGTTGTAAATGACAGAAATGTTCTCTTCATATGGGAAGCAAATGTCC